GGCAACTTCCAAAGCAGCTTAAGGGCTGTTCCGTAAGTACAACACATTACACTCCGGTAAAATAAGGTATTTACTATGTAATCGCGTGAGCATAAGAAGAGTGCAGCAGTTTGGTATTTCCATTCGGTCCAGGATGGGCGTGGTGTAGCACCAAGTAGAGCTCTATCACCCTCATGGTCAGTGGATCGAATCCCGGCTTGATACAATCTCGCACCAGCCAGAATTCCCTTCCTTTCAGGATCAGATAATCAGTACTAGACTCTTCTGGAAGGATAAAAACACTGACTTGTACATCGGCTGGCTATTCCAAGTCATTGTATGGTCGAATGCGTAGGCGCATTCCAAAAACGGTACTGGACACGGGCAAATGACTTACTCTTTTTCATTTGAAAAGTTTTTAGAGCACTTTGGATTAACCAAATGGCATGTAGTCCTTCTACAGAAGGCAAATACCTGCATCGTGTCCTTGACTTGCTCTTCAAAAAAATTATGCATTCCAATGCACGAATTCTTTTCGGAGTTTTTACAGCAGTTGAAGAAACATGATGCAATTTAGATGAATTGATATGGCGTGTAGTCAATTGGGTGGGAACGCTTGATCAAGTCGAACTACGGCTAGGTACAAGGTAGCTAGGGGGTGAGCTCTAATTATTAAAACAAAGGGTTGTGGCCTCGTCTGTAAATTATCCACAAAAAAGAACACCCACTTCAGGACCACGGACAGCCACAAGCAGCAGCCCAATGGGGTTGAATGAGAGCAAAATTGCAATGACATTGGATGCTCATTTGACTTTTAGAAGCGTCTCAAAGCGGCTTCCAAAGGACCAGTATCCTGGTGTATAGTGTCTACATACATATGTTTAAAGCAGCACAGTACCACGAAGCAAAGTGATTGGAGCGAAGGCTATGCCGGACTCTCTGTACACTCTGCTAGAAGAAGCCGTTCCAAACGATCGACTAGACAAATGTTGTTCAGAATGTGCCGTGCATCAAAATCCTATTCAGATTTCCTGAGATGAATATGTGCTTGTTCTGGACTAAAGAGGCTGCCCGTAATCAATAATATCGTGGTTCTCCCAAGCCAGACTGATACCAACATATCCATCTCCAGTTCAGAAAAGCTCTTGACCTGAGCGAGAGTAGATTTCGGGTCCATGAACCGTAAATAAGAGCATGACAGCAACGCCACTGACCACTGCCCTAGCCCGGCCATGTGTTTGACATTTTCAGGAATATCTATATGAGACTGACTGATCGAAAGGAGATGAATGAGCGCACCTATGCGGCAGTTCGATACCAGAGGAAAAGAAATCATGAAATTTATCAATGTTCTTCCTTTCCATTGCCTATCTCCTCCTTCCGGTAGCCCAATGGAATCGATAAGTGATAAGAGTTGTAAGTGATATTGATCACAATGCTTCTTGCAGTAGCTGCCACTATTTTCATCGGTAAGTCCTCGAACAAATCAATCAATTTGTTTGCTTCCAAATTTTTGTTTGTTTTGGTTTTCAACATCTCAACTCCTACAGTAAACTGCCAGAATCCTAATCTGTGTGATCCAAGAGGCACTATGCAATGCGAAAACTACCAGACGTGCTGTTCATTTTCTGATGGAAGATACGGTATGTTAGTTCTTCAGTTTCTTTCCGATTTTTTAATTAGAGAGTGTTTTTGTGGGGCAGCTGATAGTACGTGAAAAGACGTCCCAGAACTTGGTTATTTTTTTTTTATGTTGGCGGAAGTAGCCACAGTAATCACGTAGGCTAGCAAAAATACTTTGAAGGTCATTACAACCTTGGCTATGACTGCCAGAGGTCAGCTGGAGTTCATGTCATTGCACTTTCGCTTTTTGACGAGATTGTCAGCAAATAATCGTCATGCTAGGGACAAAGTCAGGGACAGGCGTAGAGGAGATTATTCTGTCAAAAGAAAACACCTCCCAACCCGACAACCACAAAAACAAGCTCAATGCTACCTCCATACTCCTCTTATCCTCCTGTCCGTCACTTTAACTACATTTTCCTTCACCTTTGCGAGAGTGAATCCAGGGTGATTCTCCCGCACCTCTCCCCCTCCGTGACTCTTCTCCTCCGTAACCGTCCCCCCCCCCCACCCCTCCCAGGTTCAAGATATTGCTAATTTTGTTTTGTATCCTTCCGGCTCTTCTG